ACATATCCGTAAACCTAATAGCAAACAAGTTATAGGCTATTTTTGATTGACGAAAAAAATAATAACTCGAAAACTTTAGGTTTAGGACATAATATAGTAATTTTACTCAGAATTTTATGTAGAATTTAAAATGTAAAAATTTATTGGGTGTTTTATTTGAAATAACAAAGTTGACAAAAACAATGTATAATCGTCAAACCAAAAGATCAAGATTTGTTTCCAACATATATTTAATATAAGATAAATACAAATCTGTTGTTTTATCATATGTTTATCGTATAATTTTTGTAATATGTAAGAACATACAATATTTAAAGAAGAAAAAAATGATTTATAACAAAATAGAGAATTAAAAATCTGTTTAGGGTAAAATAATAAGAATGGCTGTGTAAAAAAATTAAATGAGGTGATTTCGTGAAACGGTGAGACACGGGTACGTTTTTAACCTCTATTTTTTTTTAATTTATTGACTTTTAGTCTTTTTAAGCTCATGATATCAAGGCTGTGACCGGGAATCGAACCCGGTACCGTTAGACGCAGCCCATACAGCACACCAAATCACAATTACGATGTGTTCGCATTGTGACGATGTATCTAGATGCAGACACAGGGTTACACAATTCTACGATGTAAATGTGCTACGTTTACACATGGTATGCACACACGTATGCACAATGGTTAAACGTCCGCCTCACAATGTAGCCACAATACCACATTAACATATACACAAATTATGTGATCCACGGTGTGTTATCGGATACACAGTAGCTGTGTATTGTGCTTAAACTCTGCTTACACATGGCATTTGTCTCACTCGAATTGAACGTAAATATACTATTCTTTGTATATGTAGCTCTGTCGCACCGTGTATACAGTGTATACTATACACCCTGTCCAAAAAAAACTTTTGATGAGTCACTTCAGGAAAATAAGTTTTGCCGCTTGACTTTTCGTTCTCAAAACAGGTACCTGTTTTACGTATTTTTTAAAATTTATAATATTATGTTTTTTTGAGAATGATAGGTCGGACGGCGAAACTTTTATTTTCCTGAAGTATCTCATTAAAGTTGCTTTAAAATTGTTCTTTTTTTCGTTCCACATCTTATAATATATACTTACTATTATGGAATGCTTTTACTTGGTGCCACAAAAAACAGAAGTAGAAAAACACAGGAAAATGACAGAACTTTTACAAGAAGATTAAAATATATTAAAAACTGAAATAGTTATACATTACACAGTAAAAACGCAAACATATATTATATATTATAGAAATACATTGTCAGCCTTTGCTGCAGCTCTCTTTTCAGCCATTCTTCGTTTTTTATTTTTTTTTCCTCCAGGCGGTTGGTTGCTTGTCGCAACAATTCGGATTGGGATTTGTCTATTTCCAGTTTTGCCATTTGTGCTTTGGGTTTAATTGCTTCTGTGCCGATATAGAATAGAAACTTCAGAAATATATATATAAATATATATATATATATATATATATATTGAGCCATCGATAACTTACCAAATGTTACAGTAAGGAGTTCCTTAAATTGTTTGAAATCTTCTTTATGTGGTCCATTTGGATTTTTTTTTGTTATTACGTCCAAACAAGTTAGTAGGGCTAATTCGTTCGTTATTATACGAGAATATATATGACCCACCGCTTTGTGTAATTCCTGCTTGATTGTTTTGGAATCAAAATTTGGCAAATTGGGTATTGGACAAGCGTCTTTTATAAAGAGTCGCTGCAATAATATAAAAAAAGTTGTCGAGTACCTATAGGTACTCGACAACTTATAAGCAGAGCACAAAATATCAGTTGTTATTATTATAATTATTATTATATACTATATAGGGTATTTACTTTTTAATTTAATAAAAATAATAATAATGTGCAAAACATAAAAAATACAAAACTTACAAAGAATGTGAAGTAACGGCTGTTTGTTCTTAATGTCTCATTTAAAAATTGCAGCCCTTCTTACCGGTGTCGACTATAATAGTCGGCACCGGTAACGGCACCAAAGCTTCCATGTTGAACCGCTCCTATATAAAAATGTTAGGTAAGAATCTAACTTATTTATTGGATTTAAACCATTAATGGTTGTAGGCTTCATGTAGGTAAAGCCAACCCAATCTTTGCGTTGTATAAAATGTTAAGAATCATAGGTGCATAAAGTAACAATTTTATTGAACATTGTAGCACAAATATTAATAATTCCTATAGAAGTAATAATAAGTAAATATTAAAGAATTCCTATTCCTACCTTAAAATCCTTTTTAAAGTGCACAGACACCAAAGATATATCTCTGACACACACTTCCCAAATAATGAAATAAACATTGACACATGAGATACACTTGGTCGGTATTCTCACGCTGACGCTAAAAATGCTCGAATCGTCGAAATTCGAAATTTGACGTCCCTACAAGGTGCCTACAAGGTTTAAGTCATATGTATGTGTGATGCCTAATGTAATATTTGTGCCTACTGCATACACTACGAAAAAGTGCTATATATACACATGGTACTTAGAATTACATATACACTATTTAGTTGTGCCTTGTTGTGTCTACATTCGACGGTCGAATGTAGACACAACAAGGCACAACTAAATAGTGTATATGTAATTCTTAGTACCATGTGTATATATAGCACTTTTTCGTAGTGTATGCAGTAGGCACAAATATTACATTAAGCATCACACATACATATGACTTAAACCTTGTAGGCACCTTGTACGGACGTCAAATTTTATAATTCTAATGATCCATTTTTACGTTATATAAAAATGTTTAGAATCTTAAGTGCATACGGTATACAATTAATAAACATTGTATCACATAATTCTGTTAAAATAAACAATGGTGTATCTCATATGTGTACGTCAGTACTGGATCGACAATTAGATCCACCTTAACATCATCTGTTTTTTACGTGTATATCTTGTAGAGACGTAATCCAAATTGGACGTGCTGTATGGGAGATTGCTTACAGCTCTGTAGCTTAACCCACTGCGTCATCCTCGGCCTCTATTTTCAAAATCTGTTAAAAATTTTCATGGGAGGAAAATCGTGTTGAACTTCATATAAACCATATGATTACTACCACTAAGACATATCTTTATGTTGGCAGATAAACCATTGTAAAGAACCACCCAATTTTTACTCCAGTTTTGTTATAACTCCAGACCCGTATTGACGACTCTGCCGCCACATCATTCAATTTGTAGTCATTTTAATCCAAACATTTAACAATACATTTACAAAGGCTTTTGGCACCAATTGGAAGGAACAAAGCAGTACCTAGTACAATTAATTGTTTTATTTTTACAATTTTTTTTAAGGATAGCAGTTTTTTGCAAAGATATGAAAAAAAAATAGTTTTTATGTACAATTTTAAAAAAATCTGATTTTTTTAATGCTCTGATGCTGGGTAGGGGGCAAAAGGTTTACCACCATATTAATAATAAAAAAATAGTTTTAAAGATAGCAGTTTTTTGCAAAGATAAAGGTTTTAAAGATACACTACAAAAATACCATTAAAATATATAAAAAAATAGTTTTTATGTACAATTTTTTAAAAATCTGATTTTTTTTTAAATTTGATGTTTGGTAGGGGGCAAAAGGTTTATGACCATTTAAAAATTGCAACTAAAAATTATCTTTGCATTACCATGGATCTTAAACTTGTATGTAATGCTAAGAACCTTGGCCTTATGTTGGACAGCAAACTGCGTTTTAATCTCCATGTTAACACCATTCTTAAAAAGAGTTATGAAAGCTTAAAAATGATCTATCCACATAGACACTACTAAAATTGCAAAACAAAAAAATTCTGTCCGACTCACTGGTATTAAGCCATAGCAACTACTGTGACGTTGTATATGGACCTAATCTTGACAGTGTTGACATTAAAAGACTGCAAATCCTTTAAAACGCTTGTTTAAGGCTAATTTTTGGTGTTAGAAGAAGAGAGCATAGCAGTCATAAACTTTTGGAAGCTGGGTGGTTGTCTATGATAAACAGAAGAACATTACATATGTGTTGCTTTTATTACAACATATTAAAATATAGAAAACCAGCATATTTGTTGAACAAAATCAGGTTTAGAACAGACATACACAATTTAAATATAAGAAGAAAATTTATTTTAGATGTGCCTAAGCATAAAAAAGAGATCTACAAACGTTCATTTTCATACAACATATGCAAGTTGGTTAATACCTACAACATTTACGATTTTGATGCTTCTGTTAATACCTACAAGTACAATCTAAAAAGTTTATTATTACGGAGCCAGTAATCTTACAACAGCAATTTTGTAATTTTGTTTTTCTTTATTATTATGTTTATATACTTTATATTTAGTTTAATAATATTTTTACAGTTTTTTGGGATGTTAATAATTATAATTATTTTTATTTGTCTTGCAGGGGACTGCGGAAGAGCAGATTCCTATTTATTTGGAAATCTGAGCAATTCTCTTTTTACCCAACTTTTTCACTTTGTATTATATGTTTTTTTTGTACTTTTTTGTTTTTGGGTAATAAATCTATTATTATTATTATTATTATCAATATCCTAATATTGGGCGGTATTCCAAATCAAAATTTTCATTTTTTTTTAATTTTTGAGCCCTGGTAGGGGGCAAAAGACGTCACAAAAACAAACTGACCCTATTCCAAATCCAACTTTTAGTTTTTTTTATTTTCGGTCCACCCTAATAACCAGTGCTCGATTTATAACAATAGAGGTGCCAGAACTTATATACTTAAGTAATAAATTTATTTAATTCCAAATTTTATTTTGCAAAAGAAGTAGGTACAGTTAGAGTTGTAAAAAAACGGTTTTTTTTTTCAGATGTGAAAAAAAAAAAAGAAAAAAACCTAGAAAAAAACGGTTTTTTTTTTGTTTTTTTTTTTTAAATGAAATTTTGAATAAAATATATATTAATAATAAAGTGAAATGTAGAATATATTAAATTTTTCATTATTGAAAATTTTGACCGAGACTAAAAAATCTGATTTCTTATTATTTGGTAGTTTCCACATTAGAAACCAGTAGCAATGTAAAACTTCTACACTAATACAAAAAATTAAAGGATAAAAAAAATTATTTTGCGATTCTTCGGATAGCTGTATCTTTGTTAAAAGTGGTCGTATTGGAGCCGTAAAAAAGCAATTTGAAGCTTGAAGTTTCTAGTTTTGAGATTTTTTGATGAAAAATGTGCAACGCTCAATCCTAACAAATACCGTAATAAAAAAAATCGATTTTTTTGGTTTTCTGGTCCACGGAATGTTCTGACTTTACCACCAATGAATAAATGTTAAATAAAGAATTTGCCATTCCATACACTACATGAATTTGAAAAATCATGAAAAAAGTGCTTTTGGTAGCTTTTTAAAAAATCAAGCGCTGAATCAAAAATATTATAAGTAGTTACTTTTTTTAGGACCAAATCAAAACAAGCGCGGCCCTTATTGGTCAATTCGGTGGTGGTGGCGCGTGCTTGGCGCGAGATTGTATTTACATTTACTAATTGTCATTTAGTGGCTAATTTTAGTCCATGAATCCTAAAAAATTAGGCAAATGGGACTAATCTTGAAAAAAAAACTAAATTGTGAAAAAAAACCATTTGAAAAAAACAATGAAAAAAAACCTGAAAAAAACAAAAAAAAAACTGACCGTTTTTTTTCAAATCGCATCTCTAGGTACAGTGGCGGACACGGAATTTTAAACTACATTCCGTTAACATCAAAATCTAAACTGCCTTTATAAACAACTTACCTTCTGCAGAAGTGATTATCACAATTCTTGCCATTTTGACAGCAAAAACAAATGTGGTCATTATTGCATCTTTGCTATTTACAGAATCACACAAGGAAAACCAAATTATTTTGTTCGAAATTCCGTGTCCACTACTGTGCAAAAAAAATGTGTTAGTAGTAAAGTAAAGTAATAAAAGCCGTTCCGGCGCATCCCGCTTCAAACTCCCTACCTGTAAAACTCCATATTCATAATCAGCATTTTTAGGGTAAAGTTGATGGTGTATTCTGGCAGCATCAACAGCTTCTTTTAAGTTTTCTCCAAACCAAAGAGTTCGCAGTATGACCTTAAAACAATAATACATTATAAAACCGTATACAAGAAACCAAGTAAAGGTTAAATTTTATTTAAAAAATCCAAACCATATTTTAAGCAAGTCATTTTAAATGGCTTTAAATTCATTAAATTTAAAAAATAAACATCACAATCTTGGAACTAGCTTAGTTGATTTCACACACTAGAAAACACCTTGTATAATAATATACCTGTGCGACTGCAGTGGTTATTCTGGTTCCTCCTGAAGCGCCGACAACCAATTTTACATCTCCGTTCTTATCTACCATTATGGTTGGGGTCATGGAGGAAAGTGGTCTTTTCCCAGGCTTCATCTCGTTGCTTGGAGATCCTGGTAAGCCGAAATAGTTTTTGAAATATGGAAACGAAAAATCGTCCATAACGCTGTTTAAAATAATACCAGTTCGTTTGGATGTAATGCCGGATCCGAAGCTAAATGTTAAATAATTTTAATATTGGTAAAAAAAATATTTTTTTAAATTCTTAATATAATAATTATCGAAAGTACGTTTTATGTATCATTTAAGTGTGCCTTGAAGATAAAATGTTGTATGCCATTCGGCTAAGAAGTGTTTTTTGTGCACCGCTTAATTGTAAACTTTGACCTCAGCACAAAAAGAATCACTTCTCAGCCTTGTAAGATACACTATGCATTTTCGTAACCCGATTCTTTAAGTATACTGAAATACTTATTTTGGCATATTCGTGATCGTCTAGTTAATTTACTTACTTTACAAAAATTAGGACTCTACGTTGTGTATTTACTTACATTGATAATAACGTTATTTTGAAATTGGTCAGGTTTAATGAAACAAAAGTATTTAATTTTTAAACCCCTGATTTAATTTAAGCAAAGACAAAGGGGTGGCCCGTTGAGTCAAAGAACAGGGAAAAGGGACCATAAAAACCCTGTCGACTTACACAGTTCAAATAAAAAATAAAATACAAAACAAAACATAGTTATATGGGTCATAATCACAAGAATGTAGTATAAATAATAAGTGCATAAAATAACATAAAAAGCAGATAAACATATTTCATATAATTTGGGTGTTTTTATCAATATTCAAAACATTTTGTACTCAGGTAAAATAGTTATAATAGAGATCGTCATTTTATGACGAAGTGTTTGTTTACCTTACCACGCATCTTCGAACTATTGAACAAGGATACGATTTTATATAAATAAACTACAGCAACGACATATTTCTGGTAGAGAGAATTCAAATGCCTTTAAAGGGGAGGGAGACATGGAAAAATATAATCTAATGCAGATATTTAACCGTAGCCAATAACCACACTATGGAACAATAGCATCTCTGTGAAGTGATATAACGAAACCTAATGTCCTTATCTCACTATAGTATCCCTATATCACAATATGTTCAAATATTTTCACAAAATCAATGTCCAGAACAAGACAAAAGTATTGCGAAAATATACAAACAATTCTGCACACAGAGTTTATAGAGGTAATAACATAAAAACACTATTTTTCTTCTAAGGATAAATCCTTTTGAAATAATGCTAATATATTACCCATGTTCAAATATTCATGTATGAACACTCTCCAAACGAAAACACAAGTACAAATACAGACACAAATAAAATAAACAATATGCAATAAAATAAAATGGTATAAAATAAAATATAAAATACAATAAAATAATAAATAGGAGAGAATCATAACAAGAAACACCTGAACATGGCCAAAACTCTAACCACCAGAAAGTATCGCGCTGAATAATAACATAAAGAGATTTTTATCATATATAGTAACGTTAAAGCCATTATCAAATATTCCAAATAAAGCGCTAAGATAAGCAGTTTAAATCAAAGTCTCTATCCAGAATCTATCAAAAGGTTAAACGATACTATTACCTTACCATGATATGACCTAATGGTAATATCAAATTTAATAATAATAATAAGAGCAATAATAATAATAATAATAATAATAATAATAATAATAACATTTTATAAACCTTACCCAAATAATACCAATATTATAATAATAATATTATTGTTAAAAGCTTTAGCCTGAGTACAAATGCAAAGAGTTAAAATAAATAAATACCTTAATACCGAGATGATACACTGAGTTTCATAAACAATAAAATACATTTCAGTTAAATAAAGTTATACAAAGTTATACAAAAGGAAACAGCAAAATCAAGGCCAGTGTAACTCAAAATAAAAAAAATACAAAATAGTAAAATTTAAGTCAAACGTAATTCAGTGTACATGCGACAACATAAAGATTAAAACTCAGTGTATGCGCGATATCAAGATATTAAACCAAAATAATGAAATAGTGATACAATAAAAATCATTACCAAAAATCACTCGCTATTTACACATATTAAAATGATTAGGACCCAATAAACTAGCAATGATAAACGTCATAGACAAAAATGCGAATTAAATAATATTGTTCAAAATTATAAGCAAATTATAAGCAAAAATGTATTAAGAAAACCCAAAACGAGGAGTTGTTTATCATTACTAGCAAAAATTACAATTTAAAAAAGTGTACATACCTAATAATTATAGCAGAAAATCGGTAACAATCACAAAAACTATAACTATATTATAATATATTTCACAAACGGTTTAACAGAAGTATCTCGAAGGGCGAGCAAAAACCCTCTGTCTGTATTCTATTTCCTAGCTTTTAAACATCTCGGCCACTTAAGCAAGAATGTCTAACATAAACATTTCAATATTCCTACGCTCAGATACAAAGAAGTAAAATTTTAACACGCAATAGGATTTTAAACATAAAATCTCTTAAAACTATAATATTATTTCTAGTGGATTATTTAAATTTTCCTTGGTTAAAATAGCGCCAAATTCGAATTTAAAAGTTTATATACTACAGGACCCTTACAGACGCCCCTTTGGAAGATTGGCAGACGGACTCTTGGAGGCTTGGCAAACTTTCAACATCCTTCGCGTCAAATTTGGCCGAACTCATCTGAACGTAGGGCTTGTTTTCTCAGTCAGGAATATCATACATAAAAAAAACAAATAATATCAGCGTTTTATCGCAATAATAATATAAATAAATAATAAAAAAAAAGTACCAATAAAATAAAATAGAAATACAGTAGGGACTTAGTCAAAATAAAATGGATAAATTAGTAAAATCAATAAAATGAAAAGAACCCACCTGGAAAACATTATTGTAATGTAGAAATGAAGAAATATGGCAGTCCGTATAACCACTCCATTTCCCTCCTGCTATTTATGACTTGGAATAACCATGTACGCCCCTTAGAATATTGTCCAGTCCATGTCTTGAGTCAGCTACACTTTTTTTACTTCCTCAAATTTTAAAATCAGGTACCATCTCCATTCATCAAATGTAGTAAAGTTCATCCCTTCCAGTTCCGTGTCCCAAATGAACTAGAGCTCATCGTATCCATGGATAGTGCACTCGTCAAATTTTTGCATTGATTGGTGTATGGCAAAAACAAATCAAAACATGTAAAATGGTTCACAATAAAATAATAATAATAACAAGCAACCAACATTCTTTCACCAGACTTAAACAATTCACCAATTACTCCTAAATAACAAAACCTTTAATGAAGAAATAAAATTAGAAATAAACTTGGAAATACTGGCCAAAAAAAATTGTTTAACCAAAATATAGGCTACCTTGTATTGGCCTGCTGTAATAGAAGACAAGTAATCGACCGTAAATAGCTGCTCTGAATATACCAAAAAACTGTTCCCAATACACTTCTGAAAAGTAAATTTGCACTTTTCAAAGTCTCTCAAGACACAACGAATAGCAGAACATTGTCTATGAAGATCTAGCTCATATAAATTAAGATATACAGTAAATAGTCGTAATAGTATTTACTAGGTGACACCAGAAATGAAAAGAATAAAAGAACGGAACCAAAAAAAAACGTATTTTAAAGCCTGTAAAATAAAATTAGGTTCGTTTACCCCAAACACAACCCTTGCGTGACATCAATAGATGTTCCACTACGTTACAAAAGAAAATAGTTACATCAACAGATGTTTAACTAAAAAACCACCAAAATAGTTACATCAAGAGATGTTTAACTAATGTTTACAAAAGTAATTAAACAAAACAACCGTCTTCAAAGAAGATTCAGCTGCGCCCCCTAGCACTCCACTTGGCTGCGCCCCTTAGTACTTTGCTTAGCTGCCACCATTGACGTGATTCAGCTTCTGTATTCTAATACGTAACTTCTTACAATGTTTAGAAGCTATTTTCAAAAGAAAATTCATCTATAGTTGAAGAAATTTTTGAAACTAAAAGAAACAACACAAATTAAAATAAGCAGCTGGCTTCAAGGAAGATTCAACTACTAATACCAAATACTGACTTCAAAGAAGACTCAGCAGTACCAAAAGGTGATAACAACTTATTTAAGTTAAACACGTACAAAAAAAGAAAAAAAACTTATCCCACTGTGCAAACAACACTTGGAAATGCAGAAGAAATATTTTACCTCACTGTGCGAGAGCAACACTTAAAAATGCGTAGGAAATATTTTACCCCGCTGTGTGAAAGCCATAAATCCATCACCCAGACCAATTTCAAACCCCATTATCAATGTAAATCCTGGACACCAGGCAACAAAATGTAAGATACACTATGCATTTTCGTAACCCGATTCTTTAAGTATACTGAAATACTTATTTTGGCATATTCGTGATCGTCTAGTTAATTTACTTACTTTACAAAAATTAGGACTCTACGTTGTGTATTTACTTACATTGATAATAACGTTATTTTGAAATTGGTCAGGTTTAATGAAACAAAAGTATTTAATTTTTAAACCCCTGATTTAATTTAAGCAAAGACAAAGGGGTGGCCCGTTGAGTCAAAGAACAGGGAAAAGGGACCATAAAAACCCTGTCGACTTACACAGTTCAAATAAAAAATAAAATACAAAACAAAACATAGTTATATGGGTCATAATCACAAGAATGTAGTATAAATAATAAGTGCATAAAATAACATAAAAAGCAGATAAACATATTTCATATAATTTGGGTGTTTTTATCAATATTCAAAACATTTTGTACTCAGGTAAAATAGTTATAATAGAGATCGTCATTTTATGACGAAGTGTTTGTTTACCTTACCACGCATCTTCGAACTATTGAACAAGGATACGATTTTATATAAATAAACTACAGCAACGACATATTTCTGGTAGAGAGAATTCAAATGCCTTTAAAGGGGAGGGAGACATGGAAAAATATAATCTAATGCAGATATTTAACCGTAGCCAATAACCACACTATGGAACAATAGCATCTCTGTGAAGTGATATAACGAAACCTAATGTCCTTATCTCACTATAGTATCCCTATATCACAATATGTTCAAATATTTTCACAAAATCAATGTCCAGAACAAGACAAAAGTATTGCGAAAATATACAAACAATTCTGCACACAGAGTTTATAGAGGTAATAACATAAAAACACTATTTTTCTTCTAAGGATAAATCCTTTTGAAATAATGCTAATATATTACCCATGTTCAAATATTCATGTATGAACACTCTCCAAACGAAAACACAAGTACAAATACAGACACAAATAAAATAAACAATATGCAATAAAATAAAATGGTATAAAATAAAATATAAAATACAATAAAATAATAAATAGGAGAGAATCATAACAAGAAACACCTGAACATGGCCAAAACTCTAACCACCAGAAAGTATCGCGCTGAATAATAACATAAAGAGATTTTTATCATATATAGTAACGTTAAAGCCATTATCAAATATTCCAAATAAAGCGCTAAGATAAGCAGTTTAAATCAAAGTCTCTATCCAGAATCTATCAAAAGGTTAAACGATACTATTACCTTACCATGATATGACCTAATGGTAATATCAAATTTAATAATAATAATAAGAGCAATAATAATAATAATAATAATAATAATAATAATAATAACATTTTATAAACCTTACCCAAATAATACCAATATTATAATAATAATATTATTGTTAAAAGCTTTAGCCTGAGTACAAATGCAAAGAGTTAAAATAAATAAATACCTTAATACCGAGATGATACACTGAGTTTCATAAACAATAAAATACATTTCAGTTAAATAAAGTTATACAAAGTTATACAAAAGGAAACAGCAAAATCAAGGCCAGTGTAACTCAAAATAAAAAAAATACAAAATAGTAAAATTTAAGTCAAACGTAATTCAGTGTACATGCGACAACATAAAGATTAAAACTCAGTGTATGCGCGATATCAAGATATTAAACCAAAATAATGAAATAGTGATACAATAAAAATCATTACCAAAAATCACTCGCTATTTACACATATTAAAATGATTAGGACCCAATAAACTAGCAATGATAAACGTCATAGACAAAAATGCGAATTAAATAATATTGTTCAAAATTATAAGCAAATTATAAGCAAAAATGTATTAAGAAAACCCAAAACGAGGAGTTGTTTATCATTACTAGCAAAAATTACAATTTAAAAAAGTGTACATACCTAATAATTATAGCAGAAAATCGGTAACAATCACAAAAACTATAACTATATTATAATATATTTCACAAACGGTTTAACAGAAGTATCTCGAAGGGCGAGCAAAAACCCTCTGTCTGTATTCTATTTCCTAGCTTTTAAACATCTCGGCCACTTAAGCAAGAATGTCTAACATAAACATTTCAATATTCCTACGCTCAGATACAAAGAAGTAAAATTTTAACACGCAATAGGATTTTAAACATAAAATCTCTTAAAACTATAATATTATTTCTAGTGGATTATTTAAATTTTCCTTGGTTAAAATAGCGCCAAATTCGAATTTAAAAGTTTATATACTACAGGACCCTTACAGCCTTATGACATAAATTACTATTTTTTTCATTATGTATTTTTTTCTTCAGCCTATGTGCTTATGTAGAAATTTTATAACTGACTGATTATTCTTTAGAAGCATACAATTCACCACAAAAAATTGTAATCAGTTTTTATCGCTAATATTGCGCTAAGCAACATAATAGCAATAGTAGCAATTTTGTAGAACTTTTCTAAATGTTGGAATCCCTTAAAATTTGTCAGAATTTATTTAATACTGGGGTATTTATTTACATACCTAATAAACATAAATTGTAAAAAACTTACTAAATATTTAGTGAGCTGGTTACTGATACTGCATCTCCATTAGGTGCCATCACAGATATATGCGCTGTTCCGTGATCTTCTTTGTTGTAAAATACTGCTCCATAATGTTTTGGGTCGTCACTGGTCGAATTATCCGAAATTTGTTTTCTGATCATGCTTGCATATTCTGGAGAGGTCAAATTTGATATAAGCTAAAGCAAAAGTTTAAATAAAATCGACAAATTTCCTCTCAAAAAAGGAAATAATAGCGAATAAGAGGTATATGTGGGGAAGTATCTGAGTATACTCTATAGATATATTTTTTATAAAATAACATTGTAAAAAGAAAACTATAAAGTTTTACTCCTACCTCGGTAACATTGACGAAATTCATGTCCCCAAATTCAGTCCTCTTGGCATAAGCAAACTTAAAAGTTTCAAGAATTCGATGATACGTCAATACTATATTGTCAGTTCCTTCCATGTCCTGTTTAGTAAAATTATATCCGTTTAAAATGTTGATGATAAAAGCTAACAATGTCCCGGAACCCGGAGGTGGCGCCGAGTATAGAGAATATTGGTCCCGGAGTTTTACCGAGATTGGAGTTTGCCATTCGGGTCTAAAAATAACAATTTTAGTTAAGTTATGGCAACTTGCACCGTAAGTTTAACAGAGGTTTAATTTCTAACCCAGGTTTTTTTATAACTGGCTTGCACCGTAAATTAATCATTGTTTAAATACCTCTAAACTACTGTTAAAATAAACCCCCAATTTCGGAGGTTTAAATTACTTTATTCCACCGTTAACGATGGATAACCTCAAAAGTACTAGTCATCGGTATTCAAGATATTTTTTCCAAAGATATTATTTATTGACATCTTTAGCAAATCCAATAAGTATAGTTATAGGTATAGAGGTCAGTAGTATTTGGAATTTGGAAAAGAAGGTTTTAAACTGTTGGTATATGGCTTAAGATTAAAATTAGATACAATTTTGTCCATTATTCCAGCTGCAGCTGTACTACATAATATTGCTAGAGACATGAATAAACCAGAGCCGCCATTGCCTGCTGATATTAATGCCATGAACTGGAGTGTTGTTACTCATCCACAAGATCGCATGTTTCAAAATCAATTAATACAAGATTTTGGGAATTTATAAAATTTAATGTGAATAATATTTTTGATGTTTTATTTAATTTATACTTATTTAAAATTAAAATAAAATAACTAGTCACTTCTTGTTTATTATTATAATATATTAAGTTTTTCTTTTTCTTCTAAAATTTTTAAATCCATCCTTTTTATTGTTAATTTCCTGCTCCAATTTTTTTAGCAATATCTGTCTCTTTGTTTTCAATGATACTCTTGCAAGCCCTCTTTTTTCAGGTTTTGTATCCATATTATTCTCTCTTACTATCAACTAAATCGGTAGTATATGAAATTGAATCGAACCACAGATTATCAAGAATCGAACTCTTAACGTCAAAATATATTTGCGTCACATCTTTTCCATTTTTTAGTCAAATTCCCTAGATCACTAGTTAAATTTTAAACCATAGTGAAAAAATCACGGTGCAAGATTTTGGACACTAATCTCCTGTAACCTTTTAACTGATCAGTTAGAGAAAACGGTGCAAGTGGCCATTAATAATTAAATTTCTATAATTTTAGAAAGCTTTGGAAAGATTAGGATATAGCATGTTTGTTTTTGCTCTTATAAGGTGGTTAGTAATTCCAGTTTTCTTCCAGTTTTTTATCATATATATATGATATGTCTAGTATAGTATAATAGTATAGATAGTATATTAAAGAACTTATGTCATAATATAAGACAGCATTTACAAAACGAGTGGCAAAGGAGTTCTGAAATGAACGAGTGTGAGAAAATGTCTTATGACATAAGTTCTTTGTAATATTTTTTCAATTTGTCATAATTTCAAGAAAAATTCGAATTATAAATTATATTTGCGTATCGTACTGTTGCGATGGACTGCTTATTATGGTATATAAATAGATAAATATTATTTACGTACTTGTAATTTAAAAGATCTTCCTCAGTTAAAATGCTTCCAGCTTCCATTAAATCCTCCAAAAAGATTTTGGATAGGCTGCCATTATGCAAAGCATAACCATCTGTATCGGCGATAGTACGTAATGTGTCACATAATTTTTTAGGTATAACATGTGTTCCTGGCTGTTTGAAAGAACCATCCTCGTTTATTAACCAATCTCTAAAAAAATATATTTACATGTCAATGTGGGCTCTCAGATGACTGCCCCCCGTGGTGCTGGATCTGCAGGTTTGTTACGCCACTGGAATTAACTTTGATCAACGGTATTACCGTTGAATCAATGGTATTAAATTATTACATACTACGCAAGTATAACTGGTTGCCGAGTTATAGGAGCTCAAGATTTGAAATTTTGAAGAATAATTAATAGTCCCACCTTGACATTAGAATACAAATAATTAAGGTTCTCTATTTATCAGTTTAACGCTAATTTCGTATTATTTTATGAAAATAATACAATGTGTGTCGCGCTTTGAGAAGCGTATTAGAGTTGAAATGAAAAAAAACTTGCGCGCTAGACGGTAGCACAAAAGAAGAATATTTAACCCATGCAAAATATTCAAGAAAAAATATGTTTTTAATTAAACTATAACGATCATAATCCAGACCTATATAAATTCTATGCAAGTATGATTGATTGGCGAGTTACAGGGGCTCAAGGTTTGAGCTTTTGATGAATAATAATAATAATTATTATTCTTGTAGATTTTTTTTGTTCAAAATTAACGGCCATAAAAAAATTAAACCTGTAATTTGGCCCCTTTTGCAAAGACTTTTTCGTTAAATAGTATATAAATATAATTTTTTTTAATCATCCGAGTTGGCACTTTTTAAGGTGGGAACACTTGGGTGGAATGTCTCATAGGAAAATTATCGTTTTACTTACTTTATGTTTACATCATCCTTGATTATAGCGTTTAAATTTAATGAATTTGATTGATGATTTGACATGTTGTATCCCTTATAACAAAACTCCACGGTTGGTTCAACAACTTCTTTCCAGGAAAGTTTTCCAAATTTTTTATGTGCTTCCCAATAACCTATTAGTTCTCCAGGCACGGCTATCGACAAGGGACCTAAAATTTAATAATTATTAGAATAAATTGTTTTTTCAACTTTGTGGGTTGTCAATTAATAACGTAGGTTGAGCTCAATTGCCAATTAATAACCTCAAATGTGACTTTTGTTTAAAAAGTCGAAGACATAGATAAGGGATAAGTTGGTCGAAGATACGCTAGACGTTTCTTTATTATCGTTTCCATGGTAAATAAGTTTTGGTTACTTTGTAGAACTCATCGGAAAAGAGCAACTTTGCGCTTGGTTGTAGAAAATAGCTATAGCTATTTGTGTATTAAGAGGATTTTTTCTACAACCGGTGTTTCTTTAAGAATGTTTGGTAAAAATGAATAATTATTCACAGTGTGGTCTGTGTAATTATTAAAACCTCAAATTTGACGTTTATGTCAAAAGTCGCAAATACACTAAACGTTTTTTTATTATGGTTTCCATGGTAACTATATATAGGTAACTATAGGTTACCTTATAAGCGAGCGACAAAGTAAAAAAACACTCGCTACTCGGAAAAGTGCAACTTTGCGCTTTCTTTTGGAAACGCAAATTTGTACTTTACGCTTGGTTGTAGAAAAATTTATTTTTCCATGTCTATATTTATCAATCAAAGTTGATCTTTTCTGTAAACCTAAATTTACTATTTTTATGGCAAATAAAGTATTTTAAGAAAGATATATTTAACATATCTTTACCATTTTTGGATTTGTTTTCATCGTCTTTGTACAATTCAGGCTTGGCATTTATTGGTGCAGTTTCTCTAGCGTTTAGCGAATATGCTTTGTTTTCGGCTTTGTTATAAATTGTCATCAAAAATCCGCCACCCAATCCCATGCTTTGCATTGTGTAAACACCGTTGCAAAACATTGTTGCCAAAGCTGCGTCGACAGCCGAACCATTTTTTTTTAAAATACCCCTAAAAGAAAGAAAAAATATTAATTTAACACTATACATATATGTTAATTTATAAATTTATAAATTAATCGCTTAAAGTAGGCGGCTTAATACTAAAAAAAACGTTTGGCTCGTAGGTACCATTTCAGATTTCAGAAAAATGCGTTGTTAAAAAAACCTACAGATGTGTTCCTCACCAGGCACCAACAGACAGACTCTTTCCGTCTTTAGGCGGCAGGATAAACGACAACGGTAGCACAATGTCGTCCAAAGAACATGGCTTGGGTATGTATTTTGGCAGACACTGCATGTTAAGATCATAGATGGAGTACAACTCCGGCTTCAGAAAGACTTTATTTAGCCAAAACCGTGACCAAGGGCCGGTTTATCAATGTCCAAGTAAAAGTGCTGATTAAGTATCTTAAAGTTACCTTTATGTGACAGTTTTCCGAATACAAGTGTTTTGGTTCCAGTTTCGTATCCGCCAGTTTAGTAATTTGGCAATTGGGAACACTGTCAAGATACATTTTAATCAAAGAACAGGTGTTCTTTGATTTTAATTGATTACATTTCAATTCGTGCATGCAATGGCATGCGCATAAAACACATAACCTTATTTTGTGTATATTTTTTATGATTGTTTCATTATTTTTATATTATTGGTGTTACACCTATACTGCCCAACTATGGAGAAAGGCAGTAACTGCTAAACAAGAAATCTGTGAAAAAGTGGCATAAACTAAATTTTTATAAAAAGCAGTAGATATTTAATTGATTTATTTAACTTTACTGCATTTCTTAGTTGAATTAAGATACAAAATGTCCATGGCTTTATCATAGCACAAGAAAACGCATTAAGATTTTTTTTGTAGCTACTGCCTTTCTTCATAGTAGGGCAGTATAGTAGATACAGGTAGGTATGTTTTTAAATAAAAATACGTACATACAAATCTTTATATAATATATTATCTTTACTTTTTGGTTACACACATTAATTTAAAAATATCCCATTTTAAAATCTTTCTTTATCATCAAAATAGTATGAGTGTATAGAAAAGTTTATAAACGTGGTGCATACTATACTTTTTCTACGACAAATACTTATTATTATCTTAAAATGATTTAAATCAAAAATTTGTATAGAGCGCCATCTATGAAACAACAGGGGAAACTGTCAAATGTCACATTTTTACATTTTATAAACACAATTATAAAGGTTATAAATCGAAATGTATTTCTTGAAAATTGACAGTTTTTCACAGTGAAAGTAAAGAAAATGTTTTATGAGGACTTTACAGTAGAGTCCGTGCCCGAATTTAAGTTATAGTTTACTGCCGGCGAAATTAAAAGGTCAGTACAGTTCATATAATTTTTTCAAATATTGGCGTTGAGAAACTATTTAATACTTTTGTATTTTTTTATTGAGATAATAAAATAATTTTCACATTTAGTATTATTTTAAAAGAAAGGCACTTTATTTTAACGATTGTATGACATTTGACAACTGTCAACTAACTTAAAACTAACTTCAGCCCGTGACTAAAGCGCCATAAAGCCACAACTTGTCAATGTGTATTTAAAAGGTCACTTAGTGTCATGGAAACATGTACGATAAAGGGCGTTTTAAAGGTGGGAGTAGAAAAAATCTATTTAAGATCAATACATTTCAAATTGTTCTCTTGATAGGTAAACAAATATTTAGAACTTGTACAAACCTATCCGTAGAAGTTTCTATTTTTCTCTCTATGATTTTCACTATATTTGTTTCTCAATTTCTCAAAAAACATCAACATGGTCATAATTTTAAGTAATTTAATGTTCTTGCCGTTCTAAAACTGTATAAAAGTAGCCTTTTCTTGTATTGCTCAAACTCAACAATTTGTTTATCGTCGTGGCTTTCAAAATATTCAATATTCATTTCAAAAACAACATTACACAAACACAAATATATCCTATAAATCGCGATACCTTACTGCTAGTTAATTCCTTATCTGATCAGATCGACCCTTACAGCTTTCAGTTCAATTTACGTCCAGTTATCTTAATTTAAGTTCTTAGTAATGGTTAGTTGGATATTGATAAACAGTTTAGCCACCACTTTAATTTTATTTTCCAGTTAAGACACCTAATTGGGTTAACAGGGTTAATTTATCAAATACGGTGTTAATATAAATATTTGTTAATTGTTTGATTGAGTGAAGAGTTTTTAAAAAATACAAAAACTACAAAAATATAAGCAATGTACGTATCGGCGAAATTTGTGAAGGATGTAGGTAACATGGGTTAAATCGACCTACTTTAAACATATTTTTTAGATATCATGACATGGTAAACATGTATAATATTTTTGTATGCATTCATGCAAATCAAAATTTAATCGCCGTATGAATAATTAAATTTCCCTTTATTTTATTGATATTATTAATTATAATGGTATACCATTATAATGGTATCATTTATCAACAATTTTTATTTTTAAAATAGCCTTTGTTTTATTGTTTTTATTTGTTATTTTAAAATACAAATTGTAATACAAAGTTATTTTTGAGGTTCTTCACAAAACCGTTTTAAGACTTCACCTGCAATTTTCTATTTTTTGTAATAAACTAAATTGTTGTGTAATATATGATATTATTATAACAAAAAAAATATAAATTAATTCTGGTATTTCTTAGATGTTTTCATTAAAATTTAATAAACATTAATTAGTAATTAATTTCAATTATTAAGGTGGATTCTAATTTAGAACTACATAAACTTACCTACAAAAATTATAATAATTATTAGTGATGCAACGAATAGTACTTTTACAAATAACTCGGCATATTAATAATAAAAACTCATATATGTATTTAATCGTTTTCTATTTATTTTATTCTACTCGTAGTAATTAAAATTTTCAACTGGCAATTTTTTGTTGAGAAAGCACATTCCCAGCCGTTAAAAAAAGCCTTTGGGAGGCGAATGTACACGGTTTCAATCAAAAATATTTTCGGGCCAATTTTTTCAGCCTATGGGTCAGCAAACGGCTATAATCTTAGGTGATCCCCCGGAGACCGGGGAGTCCCTATCATTGCGGCTAAAGCGTTCAATTTTTTTTTAATCTTCGTGTTATTTACACACCGTGGTAAAAATATTTTTTTTAATATTCGACTATAATTACACAAGAGCCTATTATAAATTTTTGTTTTCCTTAAAAGCTTGTTACCTAGGAATTTGACAAGAAAAAATGTCATCAATCATTTTTTCGTGTCAAATTGCTAAAAGTTTGAAAGTTAGAAAACATAAATTTATCCTGCCAGAAAAAAGCTCGAGTGTAATTCGACGAGATAATTTTGTAATTAATTGATAAAATTTATTTAAATGAACAGTTAGTCTTTGAACAATTATTATAAATAATTCTGGATGTAGAGGTAAAAGATAACTCCAATGTATTATTTTCTTCAATAAAATCTGTAATGATTGCATTTTGAATATTGTGTTCATTGTTTGACTGACAGGCATACAGCCTACTGGCTCGGTTTAAATGGTTTGTTATTTTGATCTTTTTTGTGTCGAGTCCAATTGCAGTTGGTGAGATTTGCAATTTTTCTGGAAATTTTAAAATACTAGCCACACCCAACAATCAAAATTTGGAAAATTGTTTTCTATTTAATTATAGTTCGGTATAAATAAATAATCTAAAGACATTAACCAACAAAAATAAAACATGTAACCATTTAACTCAAAAACTACTACTAGGTCAAAAAAAATAAGCTTTAGTGTACCATTTTCGGGACACAATGCAGTTATAAAAAATATGTTGATAAATGTATATAAAACATATATTGATATATATCACCAAAGTTGTCATTTTTTAAGTAAAAAAAAGCCTGTTTAAAAAATATTATAAAAACACTATTAAATTACACAAAACATGTTTTAAAAATTTATAAGAATGAAAAAACTCATTTTTTTAATATCCTAAAAGCGTTTAATTAGAAAAGACAAGACTACAGCGGTTTTTAAATGTTCAAGTAATTTTTTCCCAAACTCTTAAAATGTCCTAAAACTGATTTAAGTTTATTTATTTAGTTCAGTACTTATAGCCTATAGGTAATATATTACAGAAGCAACTAAAATAAATAATTTCTAATACCGGTTAATTTGCCATTTTTGTATCTTAAAAATATTATATTATTAAAATTTATAACAATTGATTTTTATTTATGAACTCATTCAAGCGATGAAATTATTTATAGACCGTCAATACAAAACACAACAAAAACAACCTTGAAACAGCTAAAACCTCCGTGAATAATATTTACAATTCATATCACAGACCACCTGTGATACGAAACAAGTTACTAAACTTTTCCAAGTGAATAGCTTTGTTGTTAAACAAACAGAATTGATTCTTTGTGTTTAGAATCTTGGAGAATTAGTCTTACCTTTTAATTTAATGGCTGGGTGTTTATCTGGAATAAAATAAATAAACAATGATAGAAAAACAGTTTTAATTTTAAAGTATTTTATTTACTTATTAACTTATAAGTAAAAAATTAAATATTATTTTTTAATAACACAGAATTCATAATAGGTCACCTTGACTACATAAAGTGGCAACCCGGGCACACTTAACGCGACAATGTTGGGTCGGTATAATTAGAACAAAAAGGGAAATTATGAACAAAAAATCACAGTCCTTAATAACAGCAAGTAGGTAATACCTAATTAAGTTTGATCCTTAAAACAGGAAATAAATCAGTCCTAAAATCAATAAAACTAAACATGTTGCTTGATTTTTTTGTTGTTCTCGGTATTCATCAACTTGGTGAGGATTTTTCTGGAATGTCCACTGGGGTCGTTGTGGTTGGTGTGTTCGCTGACTTCCTTCTTGGACCTTTGCTTTCCGCTATGGCCGCTGTAAATCTGCTTGTCATAGGCGAAGTTGTAGTGTTCGTATTCATCGAAGTGACTTTCGGACATCTTGGTTTCTTTCAACACTGTTTTACTTTTAGTCTTTACACTGTTCGTAGGTTCTGATAAACTTGTGAAGATTGGAGAAGGACCGCGCGTTTATATAGAGGCATTGTATGCGCACGCTTCTCGTTTGTTTTGTCGATGGCGACGCGATCATGGCGTTCGGAAAGAGGTAAATAACTTGCTCGGCATAATTTTATCGCTTGGTCAGAGTTGCCAGATTGGGTTTTTTTCGCAATTTTGGGGAAAACGATGACAAGGGGAAATCTTTGGGGAAAAAAATTATTGTGGGGAAAACTTGGGGAGAAGATTCCAAAGAATCTTATTCGTTTAATTACAATATGCTGTTATTCTATTAAAGCAGAAGAAGTAACAAATTAAAATTTGTGACAACTCTTACTAACATAAACATTTGCGTAAAAACAATTCTAACAACATGTCTAAAAATGCAAGGCATTATTGGGCTTCTTGGAAAACAGAAGCACCATTTTCCGGTAAGTTGTTTTTCTTTATTATTTAAAGTGTAGTTTAAGTTTGTAATTTTCTAATCAACTTGAATTTGTTTTCTTGAATCGTTTAAACACCTAAAATCTTTGCATTATGGTAATGTAAAATTATAAATGTTTAAAGTTGATAATCTTAAAATGCTTTTCTTTCTCTGTTTAGGGTGGCTGATGTGTGCGGAAGGAGAACCCACTAAAGCATTTTGTAAATTGTGCAAATGCTTGTTACAAGCACATAAAAAAGATCTCTTGAACCACGCAAAGTGCAACAAACAATTTGAGCCTACCATCAAAATGTTGAAAAAATTTAAATCCAAAGAACATTATAATAATAATAATGATACGGAAGATCCAAGTCCAAGAAATTCTAGATGGTTTGATTTCCGTATAAATTTTATAGAGGTTAAAATAACATGTATTGTTTGAATAAATTTTATTTTGGGGAAAAGTTAAAAAAATAGTGTCATTTTGGGGAAAAATAAAATTTGATCTGGGGAAATTTCGAAATCGCCATCTGGCAACCCTGCGCTTGGTCGGGTGGACGTTTCATAGGTCTTTCTAGAAGTTTTCTCGAATAGGTAATTCGTGGCCTTCTGGGTGAAACGTGTATATTTAGAAGAATATATTTTTATATAAAAAGTAACTTAATTATTTTGAAGGATTATATTAAGTTGTTTACAAACAATGAATAATTGAACCCTATTAGGCTAAATGATAATCTAAAATAGTAAATGTTACATAAAGTTATGTACTAATATGTATATTTTAAAAGTTATCTAGTAGATAATTTAAATCAAATAAAAGGTATGGCTTTAGTAACCTTGACCAAACCAAAACAATTATAATTTTTTAATAATAAAAAAGAAATATACTTACATGGATTTATTCTTATTTAGGAACTGTGTTTACTCTAATTTTTAGTATTTTAGTCTTTATTTATTTAGTATTTCAAATTTCAGTGGCGGCGATAAGAATTCGCCCCCCTCCCGCCAAATTTTTCCATGGGCAATAAAATCTGGAAATCTGGAAATACTGGAATTTTATCTAAGATGCTAAATTGTAAGAAAAAAACTCGGATATATCTTTAGATTTTCTACTCTCTAAAAGTGAAACAGTGAAATTTTCACTATTTCCGTCAGTGAGTTATTAATCACTGTAAAATTATTGTTTTTCAATATAAATTAGTGAAATTTTAACTTCTCCAAATTAGTGTTTTTTATTATCATTACTTTTCCGGAACTCTCGACATAAAATAGTGAAATTTTAACTTTTTTGAACTTAGTTATCATAACTACTAAACCTATTTCACTAATTTGTACAGTGTAATTTCCACTAAATAAATTAGTGCAAAGAAATCGCTACATGAAAAGTGAGTATTCACTAATTGCTAGTGGTATACTTATCACTGCGGCAAATAGTTAATATGCACTGTCAATCAGTGAAAATCCACTGTTTCATTTTTAGAGAGTATATACCTGGAAAATATTCTGTATTGTGGCGTACTTAAAGAAAAACTGGGCTTGTCTCACATTTTATTTTATAAATTGGACATCATTTCATATATTACATAATATATTTATATTACAAAATATGTATATGTGTCTAAGCCACAAATAATAATAATACAGTAATTTGCTAATTGCCTTAAGTATAAAATATTACCATCGCTAAAATCTGTCTGGTGCTAGTGAAGCTATTTGTGGATAGATCAGGGAATAAAAAGTTTAAGGAAGTACTGTTAAATTGCCAAAACGGCGATGTTTTTGTTTTCAAAATATACCGACCAACAGTTCTAAATCAAGCACGTTTATGTTTAAAACTTATAAGTCTATAGACTCAAACTTTTGGTAGAATATATTTATGATTAATTCATATAGTTTTATTTTGGAATAAGATTATCTTTAATTTCAGGCGCCTCTTTTCTTTTCTTAACAATTTTGTTGTGTGGAAGTGGTGGTAATAGTATATTACACTACAAGGGCAGAAAGTGTGAGATTCCTGCCCGTGTAGTGTATACTATTTTTCTTACTACCTCGGCCGAAAATACAACCCGGCCGAAAATACGGGAAAAAATTAAATGTGTATATCGAAACATATTTATGCCTGCCCAAATTTTGAGGTTATATTAATGTCGTAATCAGAGTTGCATATGTTCAGCACACGACTAAAAAATTTTTACTCCCGCTATTATAGAGTGTGCGCGTATAGCTTGACCAATGCAAGAAACGTAAACTTTCTGCCGTGAAATCGGGGACGAAACAACGTATTTTCAGTCGAGGTAGTAAGAAAAAGTTTTTTTAAGTGGAAATATTTGTTAATAAGCACAGACAGGTTAGCATATTGCTATATCTTTTTTGGTCAAGTAGGATATTTAATTTAGAATTTTAATATATTCCTAACCCTCATTTTTAACTGTTTTCTCGATATTAGTTTTTGTATTATACCACTATAATGATAATTGGTCGAAAAATCGACTATAAACAACAAACACTTAACGCTCACTCGTTGAAATATCGACTACATCCTGTAGGGTCTAGTGCCATTTTTTGTAAAAAAGTAAGTTTCAGATAAAAAACGTCAACAACATAATATGTACAATACTATTATTATTATTATTATTATTAATCACCAAATAAATTGTTTTGTATACATAAACAAACCAATACAGACATTTGCGTAGTCAGGGGAGGACGGGACAGATTCCCCCTGGAAGAGCTGTAACAATAGCTATTTACATACCATGGGAGGAAATTATTGCTTTTCCTCCCGCGAATAGTTTCAATTAAAAATCGAAAATATTGAATATGAATAAGTATAGTTTGTTAAAAGAATTGTTGGACAAGCGCGGAGTAAGTCTTTTTCCTACAAAATCAAATAAGGCTAGACAAAGTACAAAAACTCTTGCCAATGTAAAATTGTTAAAAAAAAAAGAGGGAGGAAAAGAGGCATTTTCCTCCCTCGTTTGGGGGTGGAAATAGCTATTTACATACCATAGGAGGAAAATATTGCTTTTCCTCCCGCGAATAGTTTGATGCCCGACGCGAAGCGAAGGGCATTAAATATTCAAGGGAGGAAACGCATTTTCCTCCTGAGGTATGTATATAGTTTTTTCTATTACCTTTTAACGGGTTTAAGACATTTTAAGCGTTCCGGTTTCTTTTACTAACCCGGTATGGGGCTATAAAATTATGACAAAATATTAAGTAGGTGTTGCGTCGCCGACGTTATGTTGACAACGCTTTGTTGCTATGGTATTTTTGGTAATACAAACAACAGTTTTTATAAGCTGTCAGAATGTTTATCATAAATTTGAAATTCTTCCTACGTTTTGAAAATGAGTTCTAGCGAAGAAGACCTGCCGCAAGATCTTGCTAAAGAGGCAAGAATAGTTGCAATTAATTTCCTTCCTTAAAAATCAAAAGAGCGATATGAAAATGAATAAAGTTTGTTAAAAGAATGGTTAGACAAGCGCGGAGTAAATCTTTTTCCTACAAAATCAAATAGGGCTAGACAAGGTACAAAACTCTTGCTAATGTAAGATTGTTAAAAAAAAAGAGGGAGGAAATTTTCCTCCCTCGCTCAGGGGTGGAAAATTAAGTTTTCTAGTAAGGTAGTAGAAAAAATAAGTTTTCCAGTAAGGTAGTAGAAAAAATTATTATTGTTAGCCAATTTAATTATCCATCGAAAATCATTCATTAAAAAGAATGTTGTAGGAAGCTTAGCGCTTGTTTTTTACGATTACTTGTTTTCTTGAGATCTAGGGGTGATCCTTTTAAGTCCGGAATATATTGCTGCTAAAAGGTTTGGCTACGCCTATGAATGCAGATAATAAATAAATAAATGAATAATAAATATTATTAAGTGCACTTGTTTATGCCGAAATAATTACATTTGCAATATCGGTTATTCTGCTGAACCCGCTAAAAAATAAAAAAAAATAATAAAACATTTTGTTTTGCCATTATTATATTTAGAATGAGAAGGTCAAATATTTTAAGTCCACGTTTTCGAAACGAATTATGGTATTTTTTGCGTTTTAAATTTTAAAGATAATTATTGCAATTAATGCATAACATTGTTTGGGCATAGCAAAATTAATTTAAATAAAACGCATATAGTTAAAATTTAATTTCATAATACATGCAAAATAAACAAAAATAATCAATGCCATAAATCATATAATTTTAATTAGGTACTAAATATTTTAATTTTGAAAACGATTATCGTAAAAATTATTTTCATCAAGTACAAATTGTAGATTTTGTAATTTATTTTTGCCATATAATAAGTTTAACAGTTTTTTTTTAATATAAAAATATTTACAATAATAATAATAACAATATACTTATAACAGGTAGGTTTGTGTTTTAAACACAATTTCGTCAAATTCCAAAAATAAAAAGATGTTAAAATTGATTTTTTTTCGTATATAATACCACTGGTGGTAAAATTTTTGATTTTTATACGAATGTTTTTTCTTGAAAATTTCGCAGGGGACATTAATTTTTAACACCACGAGCCGCTAGGCGAGTGGTTTTAAATTAATTCCACGAGCGAAATTTACAACGAAAAATCTTGAGTAAATAAAAATCAAAAAAAATTTCAGGGAAAATTTTATCACGAGTGGTAGGTATTCGACTATTTCAGGAATATGTTTTATTTAAATATTTATTTAAGCATTAAAATTTCCAAATGGAACTACAAAAACTAACCAAACCTAACAAAAATATGATATGAAAATCATTTGCTGGTTCATGGTGAATTGTGTTCAAAGAATTAGTGAAGGGAACAAAAGATTAAACTTTATTTCGATTTTCTACTTCAACTGGTCTTATTTTTTCTACCATATTAGAATGATGTGCTGCATCCAGCTGAAGATAAGGTTTGTTGGACTACCCGTGCGAGTGACAAGTTATCTTGATTAGTTGTTGCTCTCCTATTCCTTGCTTGGCTAATGTGGAAACAGCCAAAGAACGATGGGAGTGGTTTGTTATTTTATTATTTTTGGTGTCTAAACCTATTTTTTCATCTGATTTGTTGGTCCATTTAGAGCGGTTATTAACACCAAGTGGAGTATTTTAAACCAGGGCCCTTTTTGCCAGTTCGGGTTAGGCGTAATAAACAGTCTTTCAGTTGTAATGTTTTTACCTCTTTTTGACATTAGCATTAAAAGCAATCGAACATGGCAAAATTCTGTTCTTAACTAGCCATTGACAGTTGTTTTGAGCCTCCCTGATTTGTTTTAGAAAATATTGTGTTATATCCAATTCTTTCCTTAAACTTTCCTTCTGAATCTAGTTCTTTTTTGAAAAAATCTATTTTACTGTACGCAGCTTCATTTCCCCTCCATGCAAGCTCAAAAGAATAAATATGAAAAATCTTCCTTTGCACTCTATCCGGACGGTTTTCATCCCAAATATTGTTTATATGTTAAATGCTTTTGCAGGTCTATGAAGGGATTAAAAACAATGTTTTATTCTGTAAAGTATTTTTGTTGTAACATCTTTGCTGTCACTAACCATAACGTCCATATACAGTATTCTTTATAGTCAGAAGCATCCAGCTTCTTCATATTGAACGCATAATCTTCTAATATACTTACAAGTTCACTTACTGGTGTGGACTGCAGGCTGCAGTCTGCAGCAGCTGGTATCCTTTTGCCTTACAAAAATCCATAAATTGTTTCCAAACGGATGTATTCGTTTTTTAGTGTTTTTAGGCACTGTTTCTTTAAATGCGATTCAATTTCTGAAAGAATTTTTTGACATTTTTATTTTAAAATTATAAACGTCAACATATACCATTGTTAAAAAAAAATTCAGGGTAAATTTTATCACGAGTGGTATTCGGCAAGACTATTTTACGAATATTTTTTTTTTAATTAGAATTAACTGCCGATTTAATTTCTGTATGATTTTTTTTGACCAAAATGCATATTTTTTGATATTTTTATTTTTAAATTAGAAACTTCAACATTATTTTTCGCATAGCAACCGATTGGTTGCTATGCAACTCGTATAAACGAGTGGTTTTTTCGTAAGTAATATCATAAGGGCATCTAATTTTTCCGAAAAAAATCGAAAAAACACGTTGCTAAGTAATATTTTAACAAAAAGCATGAGTGCTGGTGGCAACAAAAATCCGAGTCGAAGAGGAGGATTTTTGCAACTGCACGAATGCATTTTGTTAAAAAATATTACTTAGCATTGTGTTTTTTCGATTTTTTTCACAGGAAAAATTAGATGCCCGAATGGTATTTGACAAGACTATTTCATGAGTAACAGTTAACAATTAAAATATAAATTGAAATTTTTGTTGACAACAGCTGTCAAGTTTTGCCGCGGGTAAACTCGAAAAAACTGCTGACAGGTGCTGTCACACAGTTTTTCCACCTAGAAAACATTTGTAATTCAAAATTGCGCGTTTCTGATTGGTTGAAATTAAGACGAGGGAAATAGTCACCTAAATAGTAGTTTTATCGCTGCAAAACTAAAAATACCACTCGTTTTCTGAAATCTGATTGGTCTATAAAGTAATGAGTGGAATAGTCGCTGCAAAACTGAAAAAAACACTCGTTTCGGAAATCTGATTGGTCCATAAAGTAATGAGTGAAATTATTCTATTATAGTCGCTTATAAACCACTGTGCAGCGCCCTATTATTTTACATAGAGTTTATAAATAGGTATTATTAACTTATTTTAACTTTTTATTTTTAAAACTTTATTAGAAAATTGTGATAAACCTTTTATATAAATAAGCAATTATTCTTAAAAAATTAAAATGAAAAAAATATAATCCAATTCGAAAACTTTTTGTCAACAGTCGTAGACCTAAAACACTGCATTACTATAAAGAAAGGCAGTAACTACTAAATAAGAAATTGGTGGGAAATTATCATAAACTACATGTTTATAAAAAGCAGTACGTATTTAATTGTTTTTTCAACTTACTGTATTTTTTTAAGATACAAAATGTACATAGCACAAGAAAACGCATTTTGCATTTTTTGTTAGCTACTGCCTTTTTCCATAGTATGGCAGAACAGGTTTGGAGCTTCTTAGAATTCTTAGAATAAAAAAATGGAAACGCGTTTGTTTACGAAGGCCAGGTTTAGCCTTTGGTCTCTAAGATGCCATCTTAAAGATGGCCGTAAGAGAGTATGGCGAAGACCACAAAAGCGTTAGGTGGAATTTACTTTCGGTCTTAGTGTAGCTACTAAGGTGCACAAAGATTGTGAGTCTCTTGTGTTTTAAATTTTGTTGTGATGTCTCTTGTGTTTTAAATTTTGTTGCAGATGACTTTCTATTGATGCATGATAATGCCACAGTACTTAAACGATGTAAACATTTTTTTATGGAGTGGTCATCGTCAAGTTCAGATACAAACCCAATTAAACATGTAACAAGCTCTTTTGAAAAAACTTGAACTTATCAGTTAAGACGGCATTTGCCATTTTATTTTAGGCACGTCAATGAGAATACTTGTATTTATTCGGGCACGTGGGAGTAAAGCCCGCTGCACATCAGCCCGGTAACGAGAACAGGAACCTAAACGGTAAAGGTAGGAGAGACTTATCGATCACTATCGATCAACAGTGGTTTCTTAAGCCCGCTGCACAATAGCCCGGTAACGGGAACAGAAATCTTAACATTAAAGGTGTGAGAGACTAAAAAACCACTGTTGATATATAGGGTTCGCTGAGTCTCTCCCACCTTTACCGTTTAGGTTCCCGTTCTCGTTCCCGTTACCGGGCTGTTGTGCAGCGGGCTTTAGTCCCTCCCACGTTTACTGGGCAGTTTCACGTTTCTGTTCCCATTAGTGGGCTATTGTGCAGCACAATCTTTCACAACGTTTATAATCTGTGGTGCAGCAGGCTTTATACCTCAGCAAGTCGTTTGTATTTTTTGTCCTTGATTTTTAAATAATTGTTTTTAGAAATTAATTAAAACATTACTATATAATATTATTAAATTAAAACCTTAAGACCTTTGTTTAATGGCGTATATGAAAGCCATTTGTTGAAAAGTAGCCGAATATGCCGATATGATTCAAATCGATAGTATAGTTTCCTTTTCATATATAGGTGTGTTTACTTATTTGTACGTACAGAGCGCTTTTTTGGTAGTTTTTCATTCTTCTAAACAGCAGGTTTCTGTATTTGCATTTTCCACCCAAATGGGTATACAGTGTCCTATATTAAGTACCAGAGTAAGGTTAAATTATAAATTTAATTAGTTTTTTTTCTTTTGAAATGGATATCCAAATAAATAATAATTAATGTCAAAAATATTAATAATTTTAATAAACAGATTTTGTATCTAATTTGATTTTTAATTTTATTGTCTACCCATTCGGGTAGACAGGTTTAACAATCCAACCTTTTAATTTCATAAGAAACATATATGTTTTTGTTTTTGTACATGTGTCTACCCAATTGGCTGGACATGGCAGTCAACGTGTTAATTATTTTATCCCAATTAATAGTGCAAATTTATTCTACACATGAGAAAATTGAAACATCGGTGTTTATATAGTACCTATACCTATATATATATATATAATATATTATAGTATGTTATCTTAAGGTTGTTTGCTTTTACATTACAAATAAGAATATTGTAAATATAAATCTCATGTTTTTTTTAATGTCATTCACCTAATTAGACCTAATTAAATTAACCTTTTTGGGGACCCAATTTTCATATTATCATGATTTTTGTTAGTACAAATTTATTAGGTAAAATAAATAGTATTTTATTAAATATTACTATAATAAGAAATGGGCTTCATATCGCCACCTTTCACCAAAATAATAATAGATTTGTTATATCAAAATATATGTACTTACTTTCCAATTTCTGAACAAGGTATGGCATCTGAGCAAACGGCACCATTATTGAATATATGTAGTTTTGAAGCTGACAATGGCAATTTTTTCGTTGGATTTGCTGGAACCAATATTTCTTCGTTGGAATCCGAACTGCCAGTTTTGATGACGTTTGTAGCAAATAATACGACCAATATGACTATAATTACTAAGATGAAGCCTATGATCAAGTATCGTTTCTTGAGTCCTGGTCTAAAAAAGAGAGTTTAAAGTATTTAATATCATTTTTATTTTGTTTTTAGTGGCCAATGATGTCAAATGTCAAATGAAGTTAATAAATAAAATATTCATGTTTTGTAAAGAAAAATTGGAATTTATGTAAATAATATTTTTAATAAATTAACCCAATAATTAATACGGTAACATTAATTCATTAATATTTAAAACCAATTTAAGAAGAGATTCCTTTTATAAAAGTAAAAAAAAATCATATCACCTAGTTTTCGGAAACACTTAGTTTTTGAGAAAATTAAAATATCAATAACAATATAACTTTGTGATAAAAATATTTTATTTTACATCTCCCTAAATTTTTTTTTGGTTACTTCAGAAGAGGAAAGAGAAATTTGTTTTTAACTGGAACAAATATCAAAAGAAATGTTACAAAAGCCGTGGTGTGTAAAATTGTATATAAAGTTTAATGAAAATCGGAATACAAAAATATTAGAGTATACTTTTAAAGCATTGTGGCTATATAGACTTTAATAGGACAATTTTTCGCTGAGGTATCGGACTTTCAATGGAAAAAGATCATTTCGTCTTTGACCATCGATATCTTAGCAACCAAAGATTGCACATAAAATTTATGGTTTAAGGTTTAAAAATTTTTCACCCAAAAATCTCAAAACTAGAAACTTCAAGCATAAAATTGCTTTCTTTACGGCTCCAATTCGAAAAATCGCTAAAAATTTGGAATTTTTTCCATTAGTGTATATACTGTATATATATTCAAAGAATTAACTTAATTTCTGATAAAGCGAAAATACTGTATTAGTCACTTAAATTATTTAAAAAATAAATGAATCATTAATAGGAATTCATGGATTTTAGAACGCAGTATCAAAGACAATAAAGCAAGTTTTAGTTTTGGTTAGCACGTGCCTTGATAAAATACTTAACCATTAAAATTTAATCTACTTTAAACAAATATGCTTTTAATTGTTTTGTAGATTAAGCTAGATGTTGCTTTTGTTTTGCACGTTTTATTAATTTATGAATACACCCTGTCTTTAAGACCGTGGAATTTCAAAAATACGAAGGTTGTTTCTACATGTTTCTACACTGTTCAAAATTTCATGACCATTTTAACACCAACACCATACATGGTCTATATTGATAAAAACCAAAATGGTGTTAAATATGGTTAGTTGGTCCAGTGTAAATTCAAATTCTGAAATCAAGCAAATCACCCGTGTGATTCTCACTTCCCCTACTAGGAAACAGTCTCAGTTAGAAGTGATTTGTATATGTGTGAAAGTATGCGTAAATATGTAATTCTGGCATTTCATTGGTTTATTAATATTAGAATATTAATTAATTGTATTGTCAATATTATTAATTTATAATTCCATATTACATTTCATCTAGGCACGGTAAGCCGGCCACCACCAGTAGTCGGCCACTAGCAACTTTATTTGCAAATAACTTGAAATAGGCTATTATCTTGTCATATTTGTATAGCTAAATGTCAATTTCGCTTAACCTAAAAAACTCCTGTCATATATAATTCCCGTGCAAAATTCACTGTCGCCGATACGAGTGTCCCACGGTGGGATGTCTAAGTGTCTATAGTCTCTATAGTCCCACCTGCCGAAACTTTGATTGGAACATCATGCCAGAAAATTGAAACGAAAGTTATTTTCTATTAGTCAATAATTAAAGAACTTTGGTGGATTGTTATATAGGAATCCACATTGAAATACCTAATATTTGGTCTAAAATCCGTAATTTTTATATTGATTATTTCCCTCATTATAATATGAACCAATCAAAAGCCTTGAATTTTCGAATAAATTTCGTTTAAATAAGAGATTAAATCACTAGAACTATTTAACAGCGATTAAATTTTAGCCTCCATATTGGATTTTTGTTTACGATTTTATGGTGTTATTTACAAGTTTTAACAAACATTTTTTAAAAAACAATAAAAAATAAGTTATCTAGTTTACGAAATAAATATATTCGAGAAATAATCTAGACGTATATCACTCAACCTATAAATCTGTCAAACTATGCTCAGTAAGTTTTTTATTTGATTTTTCTTTTTGGAAAATAGTTTTATGCAAAATAATTAAAAATAAAACCCCTCGACCGCTACGCGGTCTCGTGATTTTATTAAATTATTTTGCATTCAACATTTTCCAACAAAAACCAAACAAAAAACTACTGAGCCTAGTTTAACCGATTAAATTCATAGTTCTCGTGATATAATATATGATAAAAATGTTTGCTTGTCTTTATCTTAATTATCTAATTTTGTATATTTTTTCTCTGACAACACTTATGTTCTATTAAATAAGCAGATTGTCTGTACCAATAGTCGGCCGGAGGTAGAAGTGAAAATATAAATGTCACGAAAGTTTTAAATTGATGGCCGACTATTGGAGTAGGCATCGAATGCTATTTTTGCTAGTATACTAATAGTGACTATAGTCGGCGGTATGATTTTGAGCCACTTTTACAACCAATTTTCGACTTAATATTTGAAATTATCCACTTTCAGTCAAATTTTGAAAAATGAAACGAAAGTTCCACCAATATAGCGACGAAAATTTTCAAAAGGCATCGAAGCGGAGTACAATGGGACCACAATAAGGGAATCTTGTCGAACATACAGCATTCCCAGGGCAACACTACAGGACCGGATAAGCCAAGGCAAATGAGCCCAGACCCATATTTGAGCGGCGAAAATGAGAAAAAAGTGGTCAACTGGATAATCAATTTGGAGAAATGTGGATTCCCCACTAAAACGCGTAAATTAATTTTTACGATACAAAGGATTGTCTTGGATCAGAAAATAAAAGCTCCATTGAAAGACGAAAGACAAAACCTGTCCAAAATTGGTATTCGTCATTCCTTCATAGACATCCAGAAATTTCCACCCGAACTTCTGACCCAATAGACAAGTCTCGTGCAAAATTAACGGAAGAATATATCAAATCGTGGTTCAGGGAGCTTGAAACTTTTCTAGAAAGTATTGGTGATGTGCTAACATGCCCGTCAAGAATCTTCAATGCGGATGAAAGCCGATTCAGTATGTGCCCTAAAACAGAAAAAGTGTTGGGCCCCAGGGGTTACAAAAATTTATTTGAAGTGAAGAAAGGAAGTGAAAAGGATAATATAACGATATTATTATGCCCTCAGAATGGATTCTGGTAAAATCTGATTCTGGATAGATGAGGTCTGATGTATTTTTTGAATATGTTGCGAATGTGCTGAATAAATGGATATTCTAAGGGAAAATATAAAAATACATGTCCTTTTTTTTGTCGAAGCTCATCGTTCCCATATGTCAATAGACTTAAGTCAGTTTTGCGATGATAACGATATAATCTTATACGCATTGCCACCCAATGCTACACATTGCACAAGCTGTAAGAAATTGGCAACATGAAAATGAAGACAAAACCTTAATAAAAGTAAATTTTGCTCTAGTTTTGGATCATCCCAAATTTTCTGACCATATTAAAAACTGGTTTAGACGCTGTGGGTTGTTCCCTTATGATCCAGAGGCACTAGATTACACCAAATGTATTAAAAACATAAAAATATTATACAGGAACATTCGCAGACAGAGAATATCGGGGAATTGTCTTCTTCTGACTTTAACATTACCTACAAGGTATTGACAAAGCTAAAATCAAATCTTGTCGATCGAGCGGAAAATATTGATTGGCTTTTAAAAGAACTTAAAAATTTCGAGGAAAATGTTCTGGGTGATTTAAGTAATTTAATTCAATTTAATTCAACTTAATTGAATGTAATTTAATTTAGGCGCTACCCGAGGTAATGAAGATGTAGGTGACGTTCCTGTTGATCATGGTGTTTTTGAGTATGATTTTAATGATGTAAATGAATATAAGATCATTGATGATGGAAACCTCTCTTTAATACGACCAAACCAACACATAGTTAATATTTTACCCTTCAACAAAGCAATAAAGATCACGATGAATTAGGTGAAAAATCTATTGCAGAAAACCCGGCTGAAACATGCAACACCAAGGATGAAATAGATTCAAGTCTGTAAAATATTAATGATAATCAACCCAAGATTAAAATTTTGCGAGTCGATATTTATTCTCCAAGTGACATCACAAACATTAATAATGATGACGATAAAATAGAAAAAGACTTTAATGCTGAAACACACATTAAGGTTAAAATGAAATCAGATGTGCAAAATTTTAACTATAACACGGGTGAAGAAATTAACGTGATCATAAATGATGATGTACAATTCGGGCAATGCAAGGTACAAATTCATTCAATTCCATCGGATGTTATAGAACCGAAGAATGAAGGAAAAGAAACTTCTGAAAAGTGGAAAGAAGAAATGAAACGTCAAAGTTAGCATTGCCTTCAATGTTACCCCAAGAGATTCAAATTAATAATTACGGCGATGATGAGGTTCAAAATAAAATAGATCTATTTGTAAATGTATCCAAATCCAGCTTTAATTAAGATTTCATCAATTTTTTTGAAGCATTTGAAGTATCCCAAGCTTCCTACGAAAAAGAAGAAAAAAAGAGTGTAATTAAAAGGAAACCAGAAGAATCTGAAAGAAAAAAGACTGAAAAATTATTGAAAAAAAAAGAACCAAACCAAAGATAATCCTGTGATGTCTCAAAAATCAGTGCCGGCGTTGTCAAAGTGCGCAGCGTGCAAGGATGAACTGCATAGTGATGCAGAAGAGGAGGGCGAAAAAAATGTTGGCTGTGATATTTGCCCTAGGTGGTTTGGCAGGACAGGCATATGATGGTGTCGTAACCCAAGACTTCAACTGTGATTTTTGCTGTGACTGAATTGTAGAACCTAACTATTTTATAAATATTTAATTTTGATTTTTTTCTGTTTTGTTAATAAAATAATTTGTTTTTTATTTTATGTATTTTTATTCTTTTGTATATGCATATGATGATGTCGTAACCCAAGACTTCAACTGTGATTTTGCTGTGACTGAATTGTAGTAC